AAATAATAATAAAATGAAGAGTTAAAAAATATAAAAACATTACATGGTCATTAGCTATTTAAAGGTGAACTTTGATATCACCAAGAGAAGCTGATGTTCTGTAAACAATGCAGAGAAATGCAATCAAAAGCCCAGGCCTCGTATATGTTAACATCAGTCAAGGATTCTGGGGTGGCCACTTTTTGAAATCAGAACTTTTTCATTCAGCAGATGGTAATTGAGCCTCTCTGTTCATCCGTGCTGTATGCTGGGTGATAGGGACCCGTGGGGGCTGTATCTCCGGCCCCTAGGAAACTGTCTGGTAAAGGAGAGGACACAGAAAAAAAAAAAAAAGACAAAATTGTCACAGTTCAATATAAATGCAGATAATATAGGCAGCCCGCCAATTGCAAACAAATTCTAGTCTTATCTGTGTTTAAGTTAAATTTGTACCTAAGTCGAAGCATTAGGTAAGGTTTTTATCTGTCGTCAGCTGTCAAATGTTTGTCTTTGTTTATAATCTGAGATGGGTTGATGAAGTGATTGTCAGCACGGGCTTCAGTAGAACAGCGATTTTGAGGCTGGCACAGGACTGTTGTGTGTAGGTTTTTTATGAGTCAGATCCAACCCAGCACTTAACAACAGTATGTGGTGCATAGGGTACCTTTCTATGCCTGAAAAGCATCAAAAAGAAACACATCTTTAACACAATGCCGGAATACTGATATTTTGATGTATGTCACAGGCTAGCACACCTTCCATATTATGAACCATTGTACGAACCTTGAATTTTGAACCTAAAAGGCTTTATGGGGGTTGGGAGCCCTGGTAGCATAGTGGTTACGTGGCGGGCTGCTAACTGCCAGGTCAGCAGTTTGAATCTAGCAGCCGCTCTGGGGAGATAGGTGAGGCTTTCTGCTCCCATAAAGATTTACAGCATTGGAAACCCTACACAGGGTCGCTACGAGTCAGAAGCAACTCAGCAGCACACCACTGTCGCCACCACCACGGGGTGTTGGTTCATAACTAGGATTTGTATGTACGTTGGATGCTGCTAAACCAGAAATACCACAAGTGGATGACTTTAACAACTGGAAACTGATTCTCTCACAATCAGGTGGCTAGAAGTCCCAATTCCGAGTGCCACCTTTAGGGGAAGGCTTTGTGTGTCTGCTCTGGGGACAGGGCCTTGTCTCCCCTCAGCATCTGTAAGTCCCAGCAATCCTTGGAGACAGATCTCCGTGAATCTTGCCATCAGTCTTCCTCAGGAGCTAGATGCTTCACAGTGCAGGGACCCCTGGTCCAAAGGATGTATTCCACTCCCAGCTCTTCTGTCCTGGTGGGAGTAGGTTCCTCTGAGCTCTGCTTGCCTGTATAATCTCAAAAGACATTGATTCAAGATGCAACCGAATCCTGGAGCTTGCAGCTGGCCTCCTTCCCATCACTGGTGTTGGGTGCTGTCCAGTCAGTTCTGCTAACAGCAGCCCTGGGTAGGCTTTCAGAGAGAGGCAGATGGCTTTGAACTTCCGATTACCAGTCCAGTGTTTCCTACAGTACCACACCAAGGTTCCATTAACCTCCTAGAAGTAAAGATTTACAACATATTGGGTCATCACTTCAGATATGTCATGGAGAATTTTATTAGATCTCATCAGGAATCAACTAGACACTACATTTTTGAAAAGGAAGAATAAAAAATTCCACCATTTTTAGAAGAAACACTGCAAGAGAACTGTCAAATGAAATAAATCTAGGTTATCAGCCTAAACAAAGTTGCCTTGGTCTCCATGGTATAAAAGGGGAAAGCTTTTCAATCTCATTTCCATTTCTGAGACATGTAGAATCCTGAATTTGATGAGAAATAGTCTGCAGTGGTATTTCCATTGGTGGCACTGTGGGATAAAGCATTGGACCACAAGGCCAGTTTGACCTGCAAGGTTGGTAGTTCAAATTCACCAGCCGCTCCTTGGAAACCCTATACAAGGTTGCTATGATTCAGAACCGACTTCGATGGCACTTAACAACAACAACAATGTAGGGCGTTACTATATATTAACTATTAAATCACTGAGAATCCTAGCCCAATCAAGCTGACACAAAACCTAACCACCACATCTGGGGTTGGCCTGTCGCACAGAGGTGTCATGGGATACAATCTGTAGGCTTCAGAAAGGCCTTGTAGTGAGAGGGCTGGGATGTCCCTTTTCTCTCAAACAAACAAACCAACAATAACAGAAAACAAAACATTTTTATTGCCATTATGAAACTGTTTGTTGTGTAGTTGTTTAGGACCTTCAGTACCGTGACCTTTCAGTTTAAAATGACCTTGTGGTCTAGTGCTTATCCTACAGGAATTATGAAATGAATTCCTATTTATTATAGAAAATAAAATGGAAAGAAGAAAAAATTTTAATCACCTGTAATTCCATCATTACACTTAGTGTATGTCTTTTTAGTCTTTAGTCTATGTGCAAAATGATTTTAAAGTTTAAAAGGCAGGATATGAAAATAGCCAGAATTTAAGTACTGAAGGCAGACTGGCCATGCCTGGGAGACACTTCCCACCAGTGACTGTCATCAGAACAGGGCCACTGGCCCAGGAATAAAGAGGTTTGTGGCCTGGAGTTGAGCTGTTCAGATTTTAATTTGCAGGTTGCCCCCTCCCCCTCGGGGATCTGGATGAAATACACATTCTGGCTCAGGACAGCAGGGGTGGGCCCTGCAGTCTGCATTTCTAACCAGCTTCTGGACGGTGGTCACACCGCTGGACAGAGGAGCACCCTTTGAACACCAGGGGCCAAGAATCCAGAAACAGATGTAAGGAAGACAGCAGCCTGACCTATGAGGACAGTGACAGTTCCACTCAGTGGGAGGGATGATATTTCATGGATCACAGTGTCCTCTTGTTTCAGGGACTGGGGAAATGCGTGAAGCAGCCTAAACTGTAGGGAACAGTGGGCCCTGAAGGTCCCAGGTCAGCACTCAAATTCAGATCTAAATGAAGAGAAAGGGAGAAAGAAGAGGGCGGAAGGGAGACGAAGTGAACATTCCCTGGGAAGAATTGGGCTGCCAGATTGGGACCTGGTTAAAATAGTGCCTCCATAATCGATGCTCACCTACCCAAGAAGACTGAGGTGTATGCCCAGCTCACACAACAATAAAAAATCCACAAATTCTGTAGGGTAGGCCTCATTAAGCATGATTGAAACCCATGAAAATAGTTTAGCGTCATAGAAGGTATCAAAAGCAAGGTGAAAAACAATGTGAACAAGTAACGTTCAACGTCATTGCCAACTGCTGTCAAATCAGTTACCTGCTAGGTAACTCAGCTACCCACTAAGAGTAAACTGCCCTGTGGGGTCCCTGTGGCTGTACATCTTCTGGGAAGCAGAGTCACTGGGGAGTTCAAACCATCAACCTTCTAGTTAACAGCCCACTGCCTAACGCACGGAGCCACCAGGACTCCTCAACATCACTAGAAGGTTGAAAAATTCAAGCAGCAAGCAAATTACTTTTTCTTAACCCACTATGTTGTTAGTGCATGCTGTCGAGTTGATTCTGACCCACTGCAGCCCTGTATAAGGTTTCCAAGGAGTGGCTGGTAACTTTGAATCGCCGATCTTTCAGTCCAAACTAACGTTATGGTCGAGTGCTTCTACTACAGCACCACACCAGGACCCCCGAATTGATAAAGATGGACAAGGGATACTATCCAGTGTGAATGAGAAGCCAAGAAAAGAGCTGCTCTCAGTCACTGCTGGGAACCTGGCGGTCTTATCAGCTTTAAGGACCACATTTTTTCCTGTCAAGCCAGTGTTGGGCGTCCACCCCACAGATCTCAAAGTACCTGTTGGTAGCAATGTCTGAGCAAGGTTTTGAACAGGCTGTGTGTTTGTTTTAGGGTTTCTCATACACCCCAAAGTAGAATTATGAAATATGTCCTGTGTGCATGTCAGCCAGTTTCAACATTACACACCATTTGGCCAGCCTTGGTTCAGCCTGGAATTTTTCCCCTGGAGTTCTTTAAAGCTGACTCCAGACATCTTATCATTTCCCCTCCAAATATTTATATCTATGTGGAGTCTTGGTGTGGTTCTGTAGGATAAGCACTGGACTGCTTGTCACAAGGTTGGTGGATCAACCCCACCAGCCATTCCTTGGCAGCTGTCCACAAGGTGGCTATGAGTCAGAACTGACTTGATGGTTCTTGACAACAACATATATATTTGTATGTATAAAATTCTAAATGCAGTGACTACTAACTCCTTCACACCATCCCGTCCACATTAAATTTTCTTATTAAAGTTAGGGTCCTGGTGTCACAGTAGGCTAGGCATTGGGCTGCTAACTACAAGGTCAGCGGTTCAAACCCACCAGCTGCTCTGCAGGAGAAAGCTGTGGCAGTGTGCTTCTGTAAAGATGACAGCCTGGGAAACCCCGTGGGGCAGCTCTACCCTGTCCTGTAGGGTCGCTGTGAACTGGAATTCGCTCGACAGCAGTGACTTTAGGCTTCTGGTATTCCCATTGAGGAGCCCTGGTGGCACAATGGTTAAGCGTTCACTGCTAACCCAAAGGTTAGTGGCTTTGAACCCCACTCCATGGGAGAAATGGAGCTCTGGTAGCGTAGTGGTTATGCGTTGGGTTGCTAACTAAAAGTTTGCCAGTTCGAACCTGCCAGTTGCTCAGTGGGAGAAAGAAGAGGCTTCCTACTCCTGTAAAGATTTACAGCCTGGGAAAGAGGTGGTGGCTCTCAGTGCCTTTAGGAGTTAGGTTAAGGAGAATCCACCTGTTTGTTTTTACGGAACTCTGGTTGGTGTAGAGTATCAAAAGGTCAAGTATGGGAAACATGTGAAATGCATCCATATTGCTTTACTTTGGTTTGGACTAAGTTGTAAATCACATGATGATGGTTGGATAATCGGGATGGATTTTGTGAGCCTGAAGTGCTATTACAGTGTTGTAGGATGCATTCATGCCTCCATGTCTAATACAGTGTGTTTCCTTCTCTTTCCTCCCCGCAGGCTTCGACCATGCTAAGAGCCTCCTTGGCACCTGTGTAAGTAACTAGTCTTGTCTTTGTTTTGGTTGCTGAGCAGGCCTGGGAACCCCTGCATTGGAGGTGACTGAGTAGAACTGCATTGGAGGTTTCTTCAGGCTTTATGGGAACAGTTGCCAGGTCTTCGTGTTGTGCAGGCATTAGGTGGGTTCAAACCGCCAACATGTAGGTTAGCACTTAACCATTGCACCACCAGAGCTCCCAAGTAATTGCTCTTAACCCACTGCCATCCGGCCAATTCCATCTCTGCGGAATTTAATTAAGGAAAACAGTTAACATGTAAAACTGGAATTCAACGTAGCGTTAATGGCGGTTTAGCTTCCCAGCCTCATTTAGAGGGATATTTTTCACCATCTAGCTGGCACTTCATGTGCAGAGTAAAGGCAATGGTAGAAATTGTAAGTGGCACTGTGAACATGGCAGTGTCTTTTCCTGGTAATTATTTATTTTGGTGAAGAAGCATCAAGTAGAAAAAAAAAAAAATTGTTCAATTGTTCCTATAGCATTCTGCCAAAGTCGGTTTGATCTCATGTGACAGGGCCGTCAGCAGAATTGCGGTGTCTGAAATCTGCGTCCTCTTCTGGACTCACTGAGCAGGGCCACAGGCTAGCCGTGTTTGTATCTGAGCATGTCCCCAGGCCATGGAGGTCCTCAACCTCGGGCCACTGCAGGTGTGAGTGCTGCAGGGGAGAGGATGTCGAGAACCTTTCACCTGGACATGAGGGCTCACGGGTCTGGTGACCCTAAAGGCTGGCAGTTCAAACCCACCCACTAGCAGCATGAAAGATAGGTGTTAACAGATGACGAGACTGGGCAGGGTTGTTGAGCAACTTGGTTGATAATACTGATATTGTTGGCAGGTGAATGTGGCCCATAGGATGGCTGTCTCTTTCCTCCAAAGGAAACACCCAAGTATAGAATATTATCAAAGTCTGCTTTATCATCAGATTTCTACACACACACACACACACACACAGAGTACAGATCCTGTTTAAATAGTCTTTCTTGAGATAATTTCAGAGTTGCAAAATAGTACAGAGTATACCCATCTACCTTTCATGTCAACAGTTTTAAATGCCTAGTGATATTCTTGTTGCTAAGTGCTGTAGAGTCAAGTCCGACTCGTAGCAACCCTCTGTAGCATTTGATCTAGCCCTGCCAAGGCAACCACAGTTCCAGCCATCACCTTCGGGCTGAGTTAAATGTTTAACTAAATCTAGCAGGCTAATTTGTAAGGTGGTAATTTTGTATGCCCATGAATGATGTTATGAATTGTGGTAAACAAAGGGTTCCCCACCCCTGCTCTATAGGGTTTCTGATACTATCTGACAGGGTTCCACTGCTACTCATGAGGTTTCCAGTAGCTAAATATTTGGAAGTTGTCTGCCTCACCTTCTTCTTTGTCTATCTTAGTCTGGAAGCTCAGCAGAAACCCGTCCATCGTGGGTGTCGCTGCCGGCATTCAGAATATCGGTGGCATAGCGTCCAGCTTCACAGCCAACATGCAGGCCGCCATAGTATGGCAAACTGACAGACACTATGGCTCAGAACCGACTTGACATCACCTAACAACAATAACACAGGGCTTCTGAGAAATAGTTGGTGGGTTTGAACTGCTGGTCTTGGGGTGAGCAGCCCAGTGCTTATCCTGCGGTACCACAGTATAGCTACTAATATCAGAATACGCTGCCGACACATTGCTCTCATCCAGTTTATAGTTTTTGTTCAAGTCTGTTCCACGATTTATTCAACTGTTCCTCTGTGGCCTTTGGCTGCCTCAGGATCAATTCCAGCGCCCTCTCATTTGAAACAGTTCCGTAGTCGGCTTTTTCTTTCGTGACTTTGACACTTTTGAAGAATACTGGCTAGTTAGTCACAATTAGAACTTTAAAAGAAAGTTTATTAATTTTTAAATTCATAATAGATCCGTATTAGGGGAAACTTGTCAAAATAGTCAATTTGCACACATGTCTATGTTTACTGTGTGACATAAAATGGAAGGTGCCCCGCTCCAGAAACATTTGCTAAGAGCTCATTGGTTGTCTTCTTTTTGGGCCCATTCCTCAAGGCTTTCTAGAACATTATTCTGCCTTTTGAAAACTCACATTAATTAAAAAGAACATGTAATTCTTTTCTTATAGAGAAGTGTAATATGTGTTCATAATAGAAAAAGCACATTATATGGAGACATGAAGAAGAAAATTTAAATTACCCCAAATCCTACCTCCCCTTGTTGTTATGTGCCATCGAGGTGGTTGGTAGTTATGTGCCATGAAGTCGGTTCCGACTCATAGTGACCCTGTACAGGGTTTCCAAGGCTATAAATCTTTACGGGAGCAGAAAGCCTCATCTTTCTCCCGGGGAACATCTGGTAGTTTCGAACTCCTGACCTTAAGGTTTGCAGCCAAATTCATAACCGCTAAGCTACCAGAGCTCCTTTCTGACTCATAGATTGTCAACCCTTTTTATAGAATTTTCAAGGAGCGGCAGGTGAATGAGAATTCACTGTCCAGTGCTTATCCTACAGAGCCACACCGGGACTCCCAGAAATAACTACTGTTATTTCCATTCTGCCCATTGTTGTTGTTGTTAAGTGCCGTCGAGTCGGTTCCGACCCATAGTGACCCTGAACAGCCCATAAAAACAAATAAAACCCTACATTGGTAATCTTTTCACCAAACTCTTCAGAAATCTCCTTTCAATATAGTACAGTCTCCTAGGGTTTTCCTTTACATTGACTGAAGCCTGTGTGGTTTGATTTTGTAACTTTGCAGTACTTAATAGACTCATCAGAAGTTGTGAAACTACAAGAGTCCCATGATCCCTTCCCCTGCTTCCTCCCCTCCATCCCCCGTGGTGATGGCAGTTCAGTATCACAGTGAGGAAATTAACATGGGCACAGCGCTGCTAAGCTGACCCGATGTTCCGTTTTCATCAATGCACCCCCGTCTCTCTTTATTCTACACATTAGGACTCTGGGGTGGCCCTTCTATTTCTACCAGAACTAAGGCAAGGGTGGGGTCAGTCTTCAATGTGTAGCTCTCTGAAAAGATCTCTCTTAATTGAAACCAGGCTTCCCCTGGGGTCTTGGACTCATAGTCCTGTGAAGGTTCTGTAAGTTGCCCTAAGGCCCCATCTCAGGGAGGTCCCTACATGGCTTCCTGCCCTTCTCCTTCTTGGAGGGGCAAGCTGCCCACCCACACTCGAGGTTGTTTCTGTCACAGTACCCCGGTTCAGGTTTGGAATTAGAACGATGGGCTTGGCCTGGAGACAGAAGTTTGGTGGAAAGTGGTAAACACCCCCCCACCCCCCCTTTGAGGTGACCTCTTTCCCATCGCATGGCAGCCTGGCCCGATGTGGCCTTGATGTGAGTCCAGTGGTTTCTCAGTCCGCTCTGACAGAGCCTCCTTGATTCAGAACCAGCTTTGTGGAAAACTCCACAGACATACATGCAAACATCATGTAGGGGAGGTGGAGCTGAACTGGCTGACTCTGGGCTGGAGGCTGGATCCCAAGGCTGGGGGACCCTGGAATTATGCCAGCAGCACAGAGGCAGCTTGAAATTGATGCCATGCTACGCCAGACGTCTGATCAATACACCCCCTTCTTTCTCTCTCAACTCACCTCACTGATTAGCAAGCTGAAGGATGTCCCATTACTGCCTTCCCTGGATTATGAGAAACTGAAGAAGGATTTGATTTGGGGGAGTGACCGATTGAAAGCCTTCCTGCTACAGGCCCTGCGCTGGGTAGGTACCTTCCCCTGGAAGTTGAAAAATACAGATCCAAAGTTGGTGGTGGTGGTTTTCTTGGCTGGCTTCCTTGCTTGTATCTTTTAATCCAGCTACTAAGAATCATCTTTCCTGTTGCCTTCTGATCCCAAGAACTGTGGTTAAGATAGACCACATGAAGATAGATTTGGTCCCGTTTGTAACATCTCTGCGTTAACAGCACAGTTACAATTGACCTTCACCCCATAATTGGATAGATGCCCTCTCAAGGCCCCAAGAGATGGCCTCGGTTATTGAGGGTCTTCGGTGGTCATCTTAACAGTGACCCCAGCCATGGATGCTGCTCTCTGCAGAGACCACCACCCACTGGGTGTTACTGGGCAGTCACACAAGCACACAGCAAAGGCAAAAACTCCCAAGTCCACAAAGGAAATAAATTGCCTAGATGGCTACTTCTCTCCCCAGCTCTCCAGACTGACCACCATGGAAGCCACTCACTCTCAAGCTTTTGGTGAGGACCCCCAAAGGGCTTTGGCATATGGAGAGTTCTTCTACCAAATGTTTACCATATTTAAATTAAAACAGGAAAAATATATACTTAGTCGTTCATTTAAAATGAACTATAAAAACCTACTACATGTTTATGTAAATCACATATTTCTCATACAAAAGCTGTATTTTCTGAACACCCTGTTCCCAAGAAAAACACCACAGATGGTAGAGGAGTGGCATTGTTTGACACTTTTGCCGCTTCCTGAGCATCTGGCTTCATGGAGGACAGCTGACCTCTCACATGTGCCTTGTCTTCAGTTTGCTGCAGCAGCCCACTGCAGATAGCCTCTGAGAGATTCATGGCGGAAAATGATAGGTCACGTTGTTGTATCGCCATGAAAACTATCTTGGCCTCTGGTCATCCCTGAAGGGCTTTGGGGACCCCCCTAGTTTTTCCTGGGCTACACTGTAAGAGCTGCTGTCCTGAGTCAGTGCTTGGTGCTCTAACTCAGTGGTCCGCTCTGACTCACCCTGTATGAGTGTTGAACCCCTGGATTTCTATGACTGGGCATCAGAATGCCTTTCAGCATCTCCCTCATCTCTGCCTGGAAATGTTGTTGTTGTTAAGTGCCGTCGAGTCGATTCTGACCCATAGCGACCCTGTACAGGGTTTCCAAGGGTGTAAATCTTTACGGGAGTAGAAAGCCTCATCTTTCTCCTGCAAAGCGGCTGGTAGTTTCGAACTGCTGATCTTAAGGTTTGCAGCCCGATTCGTAAACACTACGCTACCAGAGCTTCTTCTGCCTGGAAAAGGCCTCCTCATTTCCCACTTCAGGTTGTGTGGTCGTGCCTCAGGAGTCTGGTCGGGAGAAGCTTCCTGAGGAGCCATCTAGGAGCAGCAGAAAGAGTCCGGGATCAGTGGAGTCTACTGTGGTCTCCTTTGGGGAGTGGACAGTGGGTAGGGCAGCCTGAGTGATCTGCAGCTCAGCCCTGCCTCCCTACTCCAGCCATCACCCTCATCTTTAGTTATTTCTGACTTTGCCCACCTAGCACTTCCTGTCAGTTCATGCCACTCCTGTGCCTCTGGGTGAGACAGGGAATGACTTGCTGAGGGATTGACATTTTTACAGAATAATCAGGAAAAAGAAACAGGTTTCATATAGTCTCATGTATGTCCCTCTCCAGTGTTCCTGTGTCCCCCTGCGCCCCCCCCCCCCCCCCAACATGTGCTCCATCCTCCACACCAGTGCAGCATCCCACCCTGGCTTCAGTGTACTCAACAGCCACGTGACTCAGCCATCTTACCGTTTCATGTCTCTGGAGATTATTCCACAGGTACGAGTTGCCTCCGGCAGCCCCTGCATCACCATTAGGAAGTGCAGCATGGTCATTTCTTATTGACTGACTGGTGGGCTGATGACCTAGCCCCCAGCTGGATATAATTTGGTTTGGTTTCATATGTAGCTACTGGCACTGTCATTTCAAGCATAATTACTCTGATTTTTTTCTCCATATTAAAACTTGGGTCTCTTGTTTTCCTCCATGCCAGCGCTTGACCACATCCCATCCGGGAGAGCAGAGGGAGACCGTCCTGCAAGCCTACATCAGCAATGACATCTTGGACTGTCACAGTAACAACCAGGTTGGTGTGAGACGAGCCGGAACCGGGCCTTTGCTTCTTGGCAGTGGTCTTAACAGATGCGGGGCTTGAATTTCTGGGTATACTACCAGCAGCGTGGCCATGTATTTGCCTTGAGGTCCTGTGAGCTGCTGAGCTCTGCTCTTCACGGGCCCACTCTTCACTTCTAATGAAGAGTCCCAAGTGAGTCAGGATGTTCTGTTCAGCTCTGGAGCGCTTCTCCACCATTTTCCCTGTTCCCCAATTCCCACCTCTGGCCCTCACGCCACTGCTTGGCATGAGTTCTAAATATTGAGTGTGACTAGGTTGGGTAAGAGAGGGAAGCAGATTCCATTTTTTTTTCACCTGACCTAACTATGTTGTTAAACACTTTATTTCTGTATCCGTAGCGCCCCCCCCCGGCACCCCCCACGCCTTATTGGCATATCTAACTTATAAGTCAGGGGCTACCTGTATAGCCCGGGCCACAGTTATGATTGTCTTTTTCCCCCTCTATGATTTGTGTGGCTTCTTAATATATGTGTGTATATATAAGGAACTCTGGTAGCGTAGTGGTTACGAATCGGGCTGTTAATCTTACGGTCAGCAGTTTGAAACTACCAGCTGTTCCGCGGAAGAAAGATGAAGCTTTCTGCTCCCGTAAAGATTTACAGCCTCGGAAACTCTGTACAGGGTCACTATGAGTCAGAACTGACTCCACGGCACACAACAACAACAACAGCAATATATGTGTGTGTGTGTGTGTGTGTTAAAACACATCTGTATATAAATTTTTAATTTTTTAAAAAAAACACAGCTGTATGCTTTTTTAATTTTTAGAAAAATTTAACACACATATGTATATGTGTCAAAACACATCTGTATATATTTTTTAAAATATCTTTTTATTGTGCTGTAGTTGAAAGTGGACACAGCCAGTTGGTTTTCACAATCAGAACTTCATGCACAGATGGTTGCAGTCGCTGCGATGTGTCAGCATGCTCCCCGTTTCCTCCTGTCAGTTTCCTGCTCAGCCCGTCATCTCATCTTTGGTTTGGGGCAAAAATTGCCCTGTGGATATTGTATGAAGGGGCTTCAAAACATTCATGGAAAAATTCTGTTACCTTTTCATTCTGTGTTTCTACCAACTTTTTGAAGCCCCTACGGAGCCCTGGTGTGGTGCTGTGGGTTAATGCGCTAGACTGCAAAGTTGTTTGAACTGCAAGGTCAGCGGTTCAGGCTCACCAGCTGCTCCTCAGAAACCCTACACAGGGTCGCTATGGGTCGGAACCGACTCAGTGGCACTTAAGAACAACAACAACAAAGTACAGTTAGCGTAAGGAGGAACACATTCTTCATGTTATTTTTTTATTTTATGAAAAGTCCCTCCTACTAGTTATTACTGAGCGGCCGGTGGCTTCCTGGAGTGTCTCCAGTTTCATGCTGGAGGTGATCTCAGGGCAGTAGTCGTAAGGGTGCCTCCAGTGTCTTTCCGACCAGCAAGTCTGCTCTTTTTTTGTTGGTTTCACTTTGAGTTGTGTTCCTTTTTTCTTGACTTCTGGAACTTTTTATGTGGTCTTGGTCAGAGATGTGCGAGGTAGTAATATCTGAACACTACCTAGTTCTTCACATCTCAAGTCAGAGGAGTCTGGGTTCATGTGGACCTCTAGTCCTTTAGATAAATTGCTGCCTTGAGTTTTTGTTTTGTGTTTCTTCACTCTCCTATACTCTAGGTGGGAAGAGACCCAAAGTTGCTGCTTAGATGGCCACTCACAAGCTTTTAAGATCCTAGATGCTTCTCACCAGACTAGGATGTAGAATATTTCTGAACTGTGTTTTTTACCAACTGACTTAAATGTCCCCCAAGTATCAGTAAGTCTATATGTAATGTTTCCAACACCCAAAGACAAGATTGGATTTATAAAGATACCAGTAATAGAAGGCAAGAGTAATGAACCCTAAAATATTCCCTTTCTGTCAGAACCCACCTAAGATGGAGTTGTAAGAATAGATCCCTGGTGTCGTTCTAGAACAACAAAGAATGTGGGTGAAACAAACCACATAGCTTAATGTTGTTGGGAAAGTACTGGATTTGGAGTAAGATAAACTGGTTTGAAGCCTCCACCACTGATTAGCCAGGTCATCTGAAGTAGGTCATTACTCCATCTCAGGCCCATCTTTGTAAAGGCTGTTACCTTCGTTGTGAGGTTGTTGGAATGAGTGCTGGAGTAATGTGTGGGAAGTACTTAATGTAGTGCCCAGCATGGAGTAGTCAGTTGTTGTGGTGTTGTTGTTGTCAGGTGCCATTGAGTCAGTTCCAACTCGTAAGGACCCTGTGTACAACAGAACAAAACACTGTCCGGTCCTGGACCATCTTCACAATGGTCATGTTTGAGCCCATTGTTACTGCCACTGTGTCCCACTCGTTGGGGGTCTTCCTCTTTTTCACTGAGCCTCCATGTTACCAAGCATGATGTCTTTCTCCAGGGACTGGTCCTTCCTTATAATATGTCCAAGGTATGAGAGATGGAGTCTCCCCAGAAGGAGCATTCTGACTGTTCTTCTAAGACAAATTTCTTTGTTTTCTTGGCAGTCCATGGTACTTCCAGTATTATTCTCCAATACCATAATTCAAGTGTAGAAATTCTTCTACGGTCTTCCTTATCAAACTTTCACATGCAGATGGGGCAATTTAAAATATCATGTCTTGGGTCAGGCCACACCTTAGTCCTGTTTAACATTTTAAAGAAGTCTTTTACAGCAGATTTGCCTATTGTAATCTGTTTGATTTCTTGACTGCTGCTTCCATGAATGCTGATTTTGGATACAAGTTAAATGAAGTCTTTGTCCACTTTCAGTCTTTTCTCCATTGATCATGATGTTATTTATTGGTCAGTGGTGAGGATATTTTTATTCTTCACATTGAGGTGCAACCCATACTGAGGCTGTGGTCTTTGATCTTTATCAATAAGTACTTTAAATCCTCTTTGATTTCGGCAAGGAAGATTATATCGTCTGCATATCATAGGTTGTTAATGAGTCTTCCTCCAGTCCTGATGTCATGTTCTTCTTCATATAGTCCAACTTCCAGATTGTTTGCTCAGCATACAGATTGCATAAATAGAGTGAAAGGTTCCAATCCTGGTGCACACCTTTTCTGATTTTAAACCATTCATTATCCCCTTGTTCTGTCCTAACAACTGCCACTTTGTCTTAGTACAGGTTTAAATGACTGAGACTTCTTGGTCTGAGTTCAGGCTCCTCATGAACTCAATGAAGTGTTTTGGAATACCCGTTCTTCACAAAGCTATTCAGTGTTTGTCAGGATCCACACAGTCAATAAAATATAAGTAAACGGCTTTCAACCAAGATCCATGTGACGTCAGCAATGATATCCATAGTTCCACGTCCTCTTTTGAATCCAGCTTGAATTTCTGGCGGTGCCCTGTCCATGTACTGCTGCAACTGCTTAGGAATTCTCTTCAGCAACATTTTACTATGTGATATTAATGATATGATTCTGTATCAGCCTTCTGTTCAGTCACCTTTCTTTGTGATAGACTTTCTGTGGATCTCTTTCACTCAGCTGGCCAGGTAGTTGTCTTCTAAATTTCTTGGTATAGATGGGTGAGCACTTCTGTGCCGCACCAGTTTGTTGAAAGATTTCAGTTTGTATTCCATCCATCACTGGGTCTTGTTTTTCCACAATGCCTTCAGTGCAGTTGGACTCCTTCCTTCAGGATCATCGGTTTTTGGTCATATGCTACCTCTTAAAATGGTTGATATTGACCATTTCTTTTTGGTGCAGTGACTGTGTAATTCTTCCATCTTCTTATGATGCTTTTTGTATCATTCAATAGTCTGCCTATGTTGTTGTTACTGAGTCAGTTCTGACTCATAGTGACCCTGTGTAGGGTTTCCAATGAGCAGCTGGTAGGTTTCAACTGCTAACTTGGTGGTTATCCTACACTGCTATGCCAGGACGCCCATAGAATCCTTCAATATTTCAAATCAAGGCTTGATGTTTTTCTTCAGTTCTTTCAGCTTGAGAAATGCTGACCATGTTCTTGTCTTTTGGTCTGTGTACATTTCATTATACTTGTCTTTGTCCTCTAGAGCTGCTCTTAGAAATTTTCTCTTCAGCTCTTTTACTTCATTTCTTCCATTTG